AAGTCTTCTAAAAGCATATATTTTACTATAAGAATATACGATGGAGACGTTAGTTGTGTGTCTAGATTTTTATATGTATGATAAATTAAAATATTACAAACAAAAGAATACTCTAGAATATGGACAATCGGTGCACATCACTAAGAGTTTGTTTGGTGTGGCTTGTGAGAGTTTTTGCTCTTTGAGTACTATTATGAGTGATAAGTTTAAAGTTTTATTGGAGGAAAAATAGAGGTTTAGGTTTTAAAAATGTGAAAAAATAAGTGAAAAGTAACTAAAAAGAGAGTCTATGAAAAGTTTGGATTTGAAACTTTTGAATTTTTACTGTTTAAAAGCTTTTTGAGGTTAAAAAAATATTTAAAAGTGTAAGTTTTTAAGAGGGAAATTTAAATTCATGAAATATGAATAGTGTCTAAAAACTGAAGCTCCTAGGAGCTGATCCAACAGACCCTAACTTTTTTAAGTAAAAAGAAGAATGAAAAAGAAATAAGACAGGTTTTGTGCGTGAGAAAAGTGTTCTGCTATTTCCTCTTTTTGTCAACAAATTTGGTATTAGAGCAATCGGCTGTAGCAAGCTCTACACATAGTTAGGGATCGTGATTCTTCACTTGGTGAAGGCTTTTCCCAGCTTTATTGCTGCAAGGAGATCAAGGATCTCTTTCTTTGGAGAAATTCTACTTGAACACAGTTTGGGACTGTCAAACTTGTGCTCTGTTGGTCTGGGACCAGGTTAGTATTGGCAGGGACCACACTAAATTATCATGGGTGATCAAAGCTGGCTAAACACCATCAAGAAGTTGAATGACAAAAATTACAGCACGTGGCAAACATGCATAGAATCTTACTTGGAGAGCCAAGACTTGCTGGAGATTGTGAAAGGCGATTAGGTTGCGCCGCCACCAGAGATTAATGCTACAGCGTACAAGAAATGGAAAGTTCGAGCTGCCAAGGCCATGTTTGCCATAAAAACTTCTATTGAGGAAGAAATGTTGGAGCACATCAGGTACGCTACCTCACCAAAAGATGCTTGGGATATTTTAGCTGCTCGCTTTAGAAGGAAGAATTATACTCGGCTTCAATTGCTGGAAAATGAGTTGCTTTCCTCGAAGCAAGAAAATATGCCAATCAGGAAATATTTCACAAAAATCAAATTATTATGTCGAGAAATTTCAGAATTGGATGAAGAATCCAAAATTTCAAATGAAAGAATGAGGAGAATAATTATTCATGGAATAAGGCTAGAGTTTAAGGCCTTTATCACAGCTGTACAAGGTTGGCAAATTCAGCCAACCGTGAATGAATTAGAAAATCTGTTAGCAGATCAAGAAGCACAAGGAAAGCAAGCAATTGAAGGAGCACAAAAAACAGAGGAAGAAGCACTCTTCAATGGACGAGGCCGAGGAAGAGGCAAGTACAATACTAGAGGAGGTCTCTATAGCACTAGAGGAGGAGCTAGAGGCAAAGGTAGATTCCAGAGCATCAAGTTAGATCAGCCCAAGGATGAGAGATCTTGGAAGCAGCAAGATAGGAGTTACCATTCAGGGGGAGCTCAAGAAGGCCAAGAGGTAGAAAGTAGCAGCTCCAACAGTTACAAGAGACGTAATGATCTGTGTTTTAATTGTGGAAAGAGAGGTCACTTTGCAAAAGACTGCAAATACAAAAAGTGCTTAGTGCAAGGAAATGTTGCTACCTCAAGAAAGGAAGAGAATCACAGTGAAGAAGAATGGGACATGCAAGCTTCTTGTGCAACAGTGGAGATAGAAGTCGAAGTTGAGGCTAACCAAGTGGCTTTGTCAACTTCCAACCAAAGTAGAGTTGACTATAGCAAAAATTGGATAATTGACTCTGGAGCTGCTAGTCACATGACAGGAGATGAGGAAAAGCTATTGAACTTGTCAGAATACAAAGGAAACAGAGTGGTAGTCATAGCAGATGATACCTAGCTTCCGATCAAGCAAATTGGAGATGCAGTGATAACACCACGCACCAGCTCTCAACAAGTAAAGGTGAAAAATGTCCTCCATGTATCTGGGATGAAAAAGAATTTGTTATCTGTGGCACAACTTACTGCTCCCGAAAATTATGTGGTGTTCGAACCGGAAGATGTGAAGGTGTATCAACAATTAAAGATTGAAGGCACACCGATCATGAAAGGAGAAAAGAAGAATTCTGTTTATGTGATGTCTGTTGAAACAGCATATGTGGATAGGACTAGCAAGAATGATACTGCTGACTTGTGGCATGCACGTCTTGGGCATGTTAGTTATCTTAGACTGCAGGTGATGATGAATAAATCTATGGTGAAAGGCCTACCCAAGCTAGAGGTGCACAAAGATGCTGTTTGTGCTGGTTGTCAATATGGGAAAGCACATCAACTTCCATATCAAGAGTCCAAGTTCAAGGCCAAGGAACCACTGCGCTGATACACTCGGATGTCTTTGGTAAAGTCAAACAATCATCAATTGGTGGAGCACATTACATGGTGACATTTATTGATGACTACTCGAGGTATGTATGGGTGTACTTCATGAGGGAAAAATTAGAAACTTTAGAAATGTTTAAAAGGTTCAAAAAGAAAGTTGAGCAGACAGTTGGCAAGAAAATTCAATGCCTTCGAACAGACAATGAGGGAGAGTATACATCAAAGGAATTTTCAGATTATCTACAAGATAATCGTATTCGGCGACAACTAACTTGTCCATATACTCCTCAGCAAAATGGAGTAACTGAATGGAAGAATGGACACCTTGGAGAAACATGTCAAAGCATGTTGCATGCTAAAAATGTGCCACCTAGATTTTGGGCAGAGTGCATGAAGACTGCAGCCGATGTGATTAACAAGCTTCCTCAAGCTACTTTGGGATTTATATCACCTTTTGAGAAGCTGTGGAACATTAAGCCAGTGGTGAGTCATTTTCGAGTCTTTGGCTCGGTGTGCTATGTGTTTGCTCCAAAAGCTCAAAGGACCAAGTTTGATAAAAAAGCAATCAGATGCATTTTTCTTGGCTATGATGACGAAAGGAAAGGATGGAGGTGCTGTGACCCGAATACTGGACGTTGTTGTGTTTCTAGAAATGTTGTTTTTGATGAAGCATCTTCTTGGTGGTCTCCACAAGAGGTAGTGTTGCCAAATTCCAAGGAGTTGGAAGAAAAAGTACAAGAAAAATTTGGAGAAGATACTTGCAGGCTATTGGATACTCAAGAAGTTGTAAAGAAGGAAAAAGAGATAGCTCCTGAAAGAACAGTAAGTCCATGGCAAACAGGAGTATGAGAGCCCATGACCGAAGAAATAAGACAAGGTGAAGTAGAAGAAGCAGAACAACAGACTAAGCAGCAGCTAAGACGCTCCACTCGAGAGTGAAAGCCAAATCCCAAGTATGCTAATATTGCTCTTATTGAAGCAAGTCTGGTGACCGAACCGGAGAACTATGAGGAAGCTGCACAAAGTATTGAATGGAGAAAAGCAATGGAAGAGGAGATAGAAATGCAAGCTACAAAAACAGATGAGCAAGCCGTAGATATATTCACAAAAGGGCTCAACGCTGGAAAGCTTGAAAAGTTTCGCAAGCAGCTCGGGATGATGCCAAGAAGCAAAGTCGATGCTGAGGGGGAGTGTTAAAATATTCATCACCGACTTGAGTTAAAAGGTGAAGAAGTAAAAGTCTTCTAGAAGCATACATTTTACTATGAAGTAAATTGAAGCCACACAAGAATATATGATGGAGAGAAAGCCACGTTACTTGTGTGTTTAGATTTTTGTATGTATGGTAAATTAAAATATTGCAAACAAAAGAATACTTTAGAATATGGAGAACCGGTGTACATCACTAACTTTTGTAAGTAAAAAGAAGAATGAAAAAGAAATAAGACAGCTTTTTGTGCGTGAGAAAAGTGTTCTGCTATTTCCACTCTTTGTCAACAATCACGACTGAGATTTCATCGCCATCGGCTCGGAAGGAGCAGAGAGAAATGGGTTATTGGAACTTACGGGCTTAGGTATAAATTTCAAAGGCTAAATCATACATTTTAACCCCTCCCCTTAGTAAGTTAAAATTTTTAATCCATCACCTTAGAATATATACATATATATATATGAAATTTTTAATTTTTAAATTTAAAGAATTTAAAGAATTTAAACCCTATATAAATAAAAATTATTAACTTTATGTTAAAGTTAAAATAAAATATTTATAAAATCAATTTTTAAAGTTAAAAATATAATAATTTTTAAAAGTTTAAATATTAAAAAAATTAATAAATTAAAAATAATAAGTAAATGGCTTTATCAAATACACAAAAATAATATTAAATATTTATAATCAAATCAAGTGATATATTTAATTTTAAAAAAATCTAATTACAATTAAAAAAATTTTTGATTGTATTTTTTTAATCTCTTGAATTTTTTATCTTAACTCACTTAAGAAATTTTTTTTAATCTCAATTAAATTTTTTTTTTTTAAATTGAGCTAATAATTCGATTTGATTATAAATATCTAATACTTATTATGGTATATATAAGAAAATCATGTATTAATTTTTTTTAGTTTATTAATTTTTTTATTTTTTAAAATTTTAAAACTAAATTATTACGTTTTTGCGTCACCTTACTATACAGCTCGTCGAGGTTCTGTTCTTGGATTTTCTCCCTCTCCTCCTCCGAGAAATTCTAAAATATCACAGTAATACCACACACGTGCCCGTCCAA